AAACAGACGGAAAATGTTGGGTACAATCTAGAAGGGAGAAAACTCCCTGCCTTGGGGTCAAGGAGAAAAAAGCACAACTGCAAATTCTTATAAAGCACCCACTCTGTGCCAGGCACTGTCCTAAGTATTAATTTTTAAAGAGAGAACATTTCAAACCCAGAACCCAGGAGTAGACCAGACAAAACAGTGAAGACCAATGAATGCAGGATCGTGGCTACAGACACAAAGAAAGTCTCTCCAGAGAAGTGGTGGTGAGACATGCTGAGCTCTTTAGAGCAGAGACTGCGTGCCTGGGACTCGGGCACCTGTGCAGGTTTTCACTTTAGCCTGGCAAGAGCCAGCGGTGTGTCTCCTCCCAACATTGTTTAGCAGCATCACATTGGAACCCAAAATGGGCCACGATGGGAGCATTTACACTGGAAATCAGCCAGGGCTACAAATCAGTGCTCTCCTCTCCCCTTGGCCCCTGGAGCCAGTTTGCCAGCACAGCAGCCTAGAACCATTGTTTACATACGGGCACTGCCTAGCCGGGTTAGAGAATCCATTCAGTAAGCACTGATCTAGTACATTATTCAGGCGGCTGACTCTAAGGTACTGGGTAATAAATCAGTGAGTGAGGCAGACACAAACCTTGCCCTCGCGGAGTTAACCATCTAGTGGGAAAAACAGAAATGATGCTAACGCCATCAATTCCATTATGAGTAATGCCACAAAGGAAAAATACAGTTGACTCTTGAACCACATGAGTTTGAAATGCGCGGGCCCCATTTTATGTGGATTTTTTCCAATAAATGCATGGCCCTCTGTATCCACGGGTTTCTTATCTGAGATTCAGCCAACCGCGGATCAAATAAACAGAATTTTTACATTATCGACTTTGTGTTCTCTAACTGTGGATCAAATATACTGCTTTTTCTCTGAAGTTGGTTGAATCTGTGGATGCAAAGGGCCCACTGTTGTGAAGTTTTGGGGGAGTCAAAGGTATAGTTGTTTTGTTTTTTTGTTTTTTAATATATATTATTGATTTTTTACAGAGAGGAAGGGAGAGAGATAGAGAGCTAGAAACGTCGATGAGAGAGAAACATCGACCAGCTGCCTCTTGTACATCCCCGACTGGGGATGTGCCCACAACCAATGTACATGCCCTGGACCGGAATCGAACCTGGGACCTTTCAGTTCGCAGACCGACGCTCTACCACTGAGCCAAACCGATTTCGGCTATAGTTGTTTTTTTTTACTGCCTCGGGGTCAACACCCTTAAACCCCTGTGTTGTTCAAGGGTCAACTGTATAGGGTACAGCAGCCACTCACCCCGTCCGTCTGACCTGCGGCTCACTTCTCTAGCATTTTTAATGGAGAAGCAAAGCACAAGTGCCTGCTGTTTTCTCGATGCTCACACCTCCACGCGGCATTTCCCTTCAATAATAGGCCACTTCTTCAGCGCCAGGCTGGCCACTTCGTGGGTTCTCAGAGGTTTTCGGCCTTAGGGGTGAGAACCACAGCACCTCCTGAGCAGTCTCAGCAAAGACAGCCTCCTCCTCCACCACCGCACCTGGCCGGGCCAGCTCCCTGCATCTCTTCTGCTCCCCAGGACATCATCGTTTCCATGGGAACCCACTCACTTCAAAGGGAAAGGAAGGAGACTGGAGGGGAGGAGGGAGTGTGGAAGCCGAGTTAACCTCCCCTCTTGGCCCCTTTCTGTGCTGCTGGCAACCTCACTGCCAGGTCCCAGACAACACCCGTCCGTCTGTCCGGCAGCACGGAGATGGGGCCTCGGCTCAAGCTACACTTTAACTTCTTGGGGGAAATCCTGGGGTTGCGGTGGGGGCTGAGGAAGCAGAGAACTGAGTGGGTCCAAGCCTGCGGTCCCCATTGCGCGGGGTTTCCTTCTCAGGCCCCTTCAGCATTGCTCCCGAGCCACAAACACAATTACCCGCGATGTACAGCCAATCACCGTGTCTGCTCAGATTAGACTGTGGTCATTAATCTGAGCGGGACTCCTGGCTGCCTGGCTGATTAGCCCAGATGATGCTCTGGTCTGATCCAATTAAAGACAGACCGGGCCTCCCCTCTGCCCCTGCACACACACACACACACACACACACACACACACACACAGTCCATATCAAAGGAAACCAGTACATTTCATGAACACATCCTCATACATAAACACAACCCTGCAAACCTTAGGGGACTAGCAGGCTCCCACCCTCACAGGTGCGCCTCCCTTTGACATTGCAGGGGCTGGGGACTTCTCTACTCTTTCTTCACCTACAGTCCTGAGAGGGGCTGTGGTGGGGGCTCCCAAAAGCCAGTGTGGGCACTAATCTGAGTCAAAAGGGTCTCATTGCATTTGTTGACATGAAATACCAACTCCCTGAAGTGCTCCGGAGCAGCCGGACTGCCCGTGGCAGGCAAATCTAATTAAAATTGCCCGCCCTCCTGGAGGCTGAGTTCCCTCCCAGTCATGTAGGAGGGCTGTAGAGAGGGCGGCTGGTACTAATGGGAGAGGTGTGGTGTGAGAGACAACCTGTGGGAGGGGGCAGGCAGGAAGGGCTGCAGAGTGGAGAAGCTGTGGGTGTTGATGTTCTGAGATGCAGGGGTCACCATGTTTGCCCGGCAGCTGGGGGGCCACCTGCAGAGATAATCTGGGCAGACACCAAGGGCTGTGGGGTGGCCAGCCTGAGGGAGAGGTGAAGATTGGGTGTGAAGGTGAACAGGAAGGAGTGGCATCCTGATGGGCAGTTCCCACAGGGGAGGTGACTGTGTCCCCTGCAGCCTGGCCTGGGGTTGGGGGTGAGGGGCAAGGGGAAGGAGCCTGGGGTCCTGGGAAGGGCTATGAGCAATTGGTGGGAGCCAGCGGATCGCTATGGTTTGAGCCAGACATGGTGCCGGGTACTCACATGGCTGTCTCATGAACCCTTATCACACCTGGGGATGAGGCCCTGCTGCAACACTAAAGCTTGGAGACCAGTGCACCCCTAATCTGGGGATCCCTCCAGGCTTGAATCGGAGCTCAGTATAGGGCCCAGCCCCAGGGCTCTGGGAAGGTGCCAGGATCAGTCACATGCGCATCGCCTGGGGTCTTGGTAAAGGGCAGATCACACATCCCGAGGGCTGGGGGAGCTGAGATTCTGCATTTCTAATCAGCTCCCAGGTGCTGCCACGCTGCTTGCTGTGCCCCTCCTCGGGGCAGCAGTGATCTATGGAGTTTCGTGGCTATAACCGATGGCCACCAGGCAATTCCGGAGGCCATGGTACTCTCCTCTCCTTCTCACACCCCACAGAGCACCAGCCACCATACAGTTCATTTACTGATGGTGATGAAGCTGCATCTCCCCACATCCAGCTCTGGCTCCTGGCATTCCCAGAGTACATCAGGTCTATCCTGCCTGCAGGTCCTCCTCCTCCTCCCGCTGCTCCTCCTGGGAGCCCTCTTACTGGCCTTGAAGATCCAACTCATACATTCTGTCTGTGAAGCGTCTGCTGTTAGAGCTCTGACCGCTGTGCTGGTTTCTTTTTGGGGGAGACAAGAGACCAGCCCATGCTCTTATCTTTTTAGGGGTTTCCTCTTTTCCCAAGAGTCCGGCACATATAATAGCAGGGGGTCAATAACAGTGTGACGGGAAGGAGGGCATGAATGACAGGAATGCCAAGTCCTATGATGGGGGAGGCTGACTTGTCCCCTAGAATCAGATCCTGTTGTTCTTTGGGGTCCAAGGTGGAGTTTACTGCCTGCAGGCAGCTGGGCCGGGCCTGTGCATTGGGGTGGGCGGGCAGGCCCTGTGATGTATCTTTCCTCAGGCCTGGCAAGCACCGCTGTGCCAGGATCTACGGATCAGAGCCCACTGTTCTGGACTCCCCACTGTTAGCATTAGAGGCCCTCAGCTCATCTGAGTAACTAAAAATAATGCCAACGATAATGATAATAACAGCCATAATCGCCACCATTACCATAAAGGCACTGTCATCTGGGGGGGTGGGGAGTGAGGAAGAGGAAATCAATCTTCTTCCTCTCCGCCCTGGGTGGCCCATTGCACATGTTGCTGGCGTTAGCACCTGCTGCAGTGTGGCCCAGCCAGAGGTAAGCTGGGCTCACTGATGCACCTGAACGCCTACGCTCACACAGCGGACGTGAGCCAGGGTCCAGCCGCAGAACCGAGTGTGGCCCAGGCATCTTCTCTTCAGTCCCTGCTGGAGCCTCGTTCACTCCTGCTCTCAGTAGATGCCAGCTTCTTCCCAGCCACAGACATAAACAGGAACTTCCCTGAGTTCTTCCCGCCCTCTGGACCATTACGTGTGTGTGTGTGTGTGTGTGTGTGTGTGTGTGTGTGTGTGTGCATGGGCTGGTGCAGAGCAAGATGGAATGAGTTCCTGCTCTCTGCCCCCACCTGGGGGAGGTGCCAGGACCTACACAGCCACACACAACGCCTGTTGCTAAAAATCCCAAGATGACCATGAATCAAAATGTGGTTCCAGGACCAGCTGCACTGGAGTCACCAGGCATGCTTTCACAAGTTCATGTTGCTATAGCCTCACCTATGGACTCAGGAAGGAGCAAGGAGCCCACAACATGAATTTAACAAGCTCTGCCAATGGCTAGCAGGCACACTAAAGCTGGTGTCATACCAAGTGCCAGGCGGTGCAATAGATGCGCAGAGCTTCTTGCTGGAGTAAAGGCAACAGTGAGATGAGGCAGAGAGCAGTCCCCAGGCAGCTGCCTGGTTGCTGAATGGAGGGTTTCTGGCTCATTAGGGCTCGTTTCCCCAACAGGGATGAAGAAGATACTGGAAGATACTGCCCAGGCCCTCGTATCCCTCACTAGACAATTCCAGGGGCTGCCGTAACCCCAGTGGCCAGCTGAGGGACCTCCAGATTGATCTGAGAGAGAAGGCCGAGAAGGGAGTAGCTGCTGGCCACTGTCTTTGCCGAGCCCCACAACTGGCCTGCAGTCTCATCTCTCACAACTTGGGCCTGAGGCTGGCTGGGGTGTCTCCTACCTGTACACAGCTCGCTTGTCAGCCTCCAGCTGGGCCTGGGGGTCAATGGGGGCACTGGGCACAGGAGTGCTGGCAGCAGCAGAGGGTGCGGAGATATGGACAGCCTGGGCCTTAGAGGGTGTCTGAGCAGTTGCCGTCATCTGCAGAGAGAAGAAAGAGGAGGTGGCGGTTAGTGTGGCCAGGACGCCTGGCTGGAACGGCTAGGGCTGCCGTGGCCTGTGGTGAGTGTATAACGAGTGTCCATTTGTATATGCGCTACAGTCGGGAGAAAGCAGGTCTTTCTTCACATGAGAATGTGCTGGAGAACAACACAGGGCCATTCAAAACCAGGTGGTACACAGCACACTTTAAAAGAGATGATTGTTGCCTAGCCAGTGTGGCTCCTGACCTATGAACCAGGAGGTCATGGTTTGATTCCCAGTCAGGGAACATGCCTGGGCTGTGGGCTCGATCCCCAGTCAGAGGTATGTAGGAGATGGCTGATCTATGATTCTCTATCATCATTGACGCTTCTCTCTCTCCCTCTCACTTCATCTCTGAAATCAATAAAAAAAATTATATATATATATAAATTATATATATATATATATATATATTATATATATATATATATATATATATATATCTTAAGAGATGATTCTTAATGCAAACTAAGGTGGTGACCTCTGTCCAGAAGCCGGAAAAAAAAAAGCCCCAAACCAAGCCCTTTAAATTGTGCCGAGGAGTCACCTGGGATGTACTGGGCAGTGTTAAGTTTCCTAACTTGGAGAGGAGGAAAAAATAGCTGAGATGTTCTCATGTGGGCAGGTCTATTGCATGTAACACAAGCCAGAGGTAACTGTTTTAAAGGTTTCAATAGAAAACTGAATGGTCCCCAGATTTGGTTGACCACGTGAAGATAAGCAGATTTTAGTGACTCTGCTCAGGCTTCTGTTCTCAGCTCTCACAAATATTTAGAGCAGTTGTTTTCATCCTGTTACATGCTTTAAAGGTGCCTCTACGGCCTTGATATATATATATATATATAATCAGAGAAACTCCTTTTAATATGCTATGTTGAATTTCCTGTATAAGATTTCATTTGAAGAAATGTTTAAATGGCTTTAAAACTTCTGATAACCATCATTACAGAAGATAATGCTTTTAGGTTATATTTTCTTTGGTCAGAGGGATCCCTCAAATGTCATGAATGGTGACATGTCTCGCCTGTCCGTCGCACCGAGACAGCGCTGCCCTCTGTGCCGTTGGGCTCATAGATTTGTCTGCCTCCTGCACTAACGCTTCGTCCAGCACCCATCCCCCGACACAGAGTAGACACTTAGTGTTTGTAGAGAAAATAAACGAGAGGTTAAATGAATGAATCCACTGCAAAGGCAGTAGATATTTTATAGCTAAAAAGTTTATCATATGATCCAGGTCCCTGCTTTCTGGGAGAAAAGTATTGTACTTCCATGAACACAGCACAGTATTGCTGGTGCCAATATCCCCAAGACACCTGCTGTCTCATTCTCTCCATTTAAGTCTCTGCTCAGGCATCACATCTTCAGAGTAAAGAGCCCCTTTGCCCCTTGCAATGCCCTTCCTCTGCCTTATGTCATAGCCCTTATCATGACATGCGCTACATGTCTATTTGCTTAGTTAAATCTCTTCTGCCCCCAAGACAAAAGGACTCTGCCTGGCACTAGTTAAGGCTCAATAAATATTTGTCGAACCAGTGAACCGAATGAATGAATTATGGGCAGTGAATGAGATTGGGACTATAAAAGAACCATATCTGCTTTACTATACTGTGTCCCCATCATTCCTTTGTTAGGATGAAATAGCCTTACTATTGTTGGCCAAGCTGGGGGAACTTTCTCAGACCCAGTGCACAGGAGGCTGGACAGCCTCCATGGAACCCGGAGTCCTGCTGCCTTCTGGTAGCTGTGGGCCTTGGGCAAATCCTTTAACTCTCCCACCCTCCTATCATCTTATCAGTAAGCACATTGGTGCCCTTTTAGGATTCACGAGTATTAAAGAGATGCTGTAAGGAAGAAAGTACAAATGAATGTTCCAATTTTCAAAACAGAGAAAGAAGGTGGACTCAGAAATACTAAATATTGCTAATGCTCACCTCGACCTGGGCCAGTTTCTTTCATTCACAAATGCAACGGATTGTTTCTCCAAATGCTACTCCGGTCCCTGTGCTGGGCACTGGGGTCACAGGGCCGAGTGCCTGCTAGGAGGCTCAGCTCCTGGCTTTAACACGCCTTCGGAGCTGGCAGATGGGGCAGACGTGGTAGGCATGGACAGTGTAAGTGACCTCACCTCGTACCTCCCAGCTTCCCCCAAAGGACCACAGCCGCAGAGTTGGTATCAGCATGAGGAAGGCTCCTAGGAGAGGGCGTATGCTTTCTGCCTGGCCCTCCTCTTCAATGCTTAGAGGATGTCTAGCGAAATGCTTAACAAACATGGGTGACAGGAAACAGATCCAAAAGGTCTTTAAAGATGTTGGTAACACTCTGAGTCTAACAAGATTCATTTTCATCTAATAATTCGGCACTTAACACTTTTAGCACTTTGGCAAAAAAAAAAAAAAAAAAAAAAAAAAAAAAAAAAAAAATCAATACTTTAAGTGCCAAACAGGGGAGACACAGTTCAGCAGCAGCTTTTGTTGACAGCAGGCTCATTATGTCCAAAGTGTAATATGTCTGTCGAACAAACAAATGAGAAAACTGGCCTCAGCAAATGCTGCGCTCAGAGGCCCAGTCTGCGCAAAGCCACCAGTGCCACCCATCGTGCTGGGCCAGGGGCAGGAGGCACACTCAGAGGAGCACTGACCGGGGAAGGGACCCTGCACTGCGCCGTCTGAGGACTATTGGGAGGAATCTGAAATGTGTAAGGGGGACGATGGAGAGATGTGAAAGCCTCTCTTTGAGTTGTGTGAATGAAAAGTTTGATTCTAGCCAAAACCGGTTTGGCTCAGTGGTTGAGCATCGGTCTGCGGACTGAAAGGTCCCGGGTTCGATTCCGGTCGGGTGCATGTACGTTGGTTGCGGGCACATCCCCGGTAGGAGGTGTGCAAGAGGCAGCTGGTTGATGTTTCTCTCTCATCGACGTTTCTAGCTCTCTATCTCTCTCCCTTCCTCTCTGTAAAAAGATCAATAAAATATATTTAAAAAAAAAAATTTGATTCTAGATTCTATCCTGTATGCCCCGAAGGATCAAATTACAAACAGTGCATTAGATCTATATAACACGGAGACAGATCTGGGCTCAACCCCGGTAAGTTCCCACCTTCTAGTTCTCAATGCAGGATGGACTGCCACCAGGGGAAAGGGGGTGGAGTTTCCACTACTACGAGGCCATGCAGAGAAGGCTGATCAGCTGGGCCCCATGCAGGGTCAGGAAGCTTTCTAGGTGGGGGGCTGGGTGAGATGGCATCTGAAGTCCCTTCCAACACCAACAGGCTGGGACACCAGGAGGGTGCTTTAATGACCACTACCCGCTGCAGAGAGCTGGGGTGGGGCTTGTATCCCATGATGCACCGTGGGGAAAAAGGGCTTTGGAAGCTCAGAAGTGCTCCACGGGTGGAGGGTGGTGTTGCTATTGAACACGCGATTTCCAGGACATGCTTCTTTCCTACAGCAAGGTGAGGCTGTGTCTGCACAGCCCATCCAGGGGTGAAATACAGGCCAGGCTGGTGCCCTGCTCTGCCCACTCAGGGGGAATATCCTTGTGCACTTGAAGGTGAGGTAGGAGACAGGGCTGAGGGGAGGGGCTCCCCCTCCTCTGTCTCTCCTTTTGGGGCAGGGTGTTAGGGAGGCCTTTCTGGTTATAGAGGAGAGCACAGAATGAAGTGTAATCCGAGGTGGCCACACCTGCGCATCCCAAGAGGCTCGGCTGAGAGGCTGCTGCGGGGGCTCAGAAGCAGGAGGGGTGAGAGAGCAGAACTAGTCTTGGGAGGATGGTGACTCATTTATTTAGCTCCTGGGGGCCAATTCGGCAAACTCTGCATTTCCTCCAGGTCTGGAGAATGTGTTCATCTCCACATCGATTTCTTTTTCTAGCCAGAGCCACCCTTCCTCATGAACTGGGGCTCAAAGCGAAAGGCCCAGCAGCTGTCCATAGGTCTGGGGCCGGGGGGATGGGTGACTTATGGGGAATTTGGGGCTGGTTACCTAGAAGTACAGCCTGAAGAGCAGGAACAGAGAGATTGCAGGGACCAGGACAGAGTGTGACTGTTAAATGACTGCTTAGAGCTCCCTGATTCTGGCCTAGGAAAGCCAACTTAAAATTAAAAAAAAAAAAAAAAATTGTTTTCAGAGAGGAAGGGAGAGGGAGAGAAACACAAATGATGAGAGAAAATCATCGATCGAACCAGGACCTCCTGGTTCATAAGTCGATACTCAACCACTGAGCCACATCAGCTGGGCATGAAAACCAACATAAATTTTCAGGAGTTTTGCAAGATGGTTAACATTGCATGGGTAGCTTGAAATTGTCCGCGGTGGGAGCATTTGCACCACAGAAGTTAGCAAATGTTGCAAACCAAAGACTCTTCCACCTCCACACCGAGAGCTCTGCGTACAGGAATGCAAGACCTGGGGGCTGACCGTCTGGTCTGACCAGGAAGTGAGCAGATGCTCCAGAGTGAGGGGAAGCTGGGAAGCTGCACACCAGTTTCAGGTGCTCTTATTCGTGTTGGAATGCCTCTGCAGGGCATGTCCGTCACCCCCCCCCCCCCCCCCCCCTGGCCGTGGGGAAGCCACTCCTTTCCCAGCTCAGCCGGAGCCCTAGTCTCCCAGGAGGCCTTTCCCAATGTTGCACGTCCCCAACCCAGGTAGCATGACCCTGCCTGGTCTGTATGTGTGTTAACCTACCGCCTGTGACACCATGGGGCCCTATCAGCCTGTCTCCCTGTGGACTGGTTCCCAGTTCCCACTGCCACGCTGGTCATGGGGGGCTCCCGGTGTGTTTGTTAAATGATTGAATGACTGACCGGATGAGGGGCTGAGTGATGTGTTAAAAGGCTCAGCGATCCAAAAAGGGATGGGGTCAATGAGGGCTCCCCCAGGGCTCCCCCACTCAGTCAGTGCAGAGCAGGAAGGGCTGGCTGCAGAGCCAGGCCAGCCCAATGTAGCTTAAAGAGGCTCCTGCA